GTTTCGTACAAGAGGACACTGGAGTTTAGCAATGTAATATTTTCAGACATCCAGATTGGCTTTCTCTGGTGCTTTTGTTCCTGTTTTCACCTCTCTTACTGTGAAGCCGCGCTCCAACTTCTTTGGGCTTGGGAGTATGGTTTATCTGTTACAGATCCTTATACTCCTACAGCTTATAATAATTACTTTGTTCAGCTAAAAGGCTTATACTTTCTTCTCTAAGATTCAAGATAAAGGTTAAGTCTATGTCTACATAAACACTCGGATATGCCAGCTCTCCTGACACAGCTAATTTTGAATCACATTAGATACTGACTTCAGCCAAAATATTACTCTGGGTTGTATTTCATCCCAATCTCCAAGCAACTTTGAGAACTCTTCATCTCTCCCTACGGATGCCAAGATCTGAGCTAGACCCTGTTTTCCTTCAATCTCAATTTTGATCAATGTTGTTTTGCTAGCAGAGTCATAATTAGTAGTCAAAGCCCACTCTCCTGCGTAAGCAAGTTTACCATCCTGCTAGGCAGGAACTTCCTACTCTTTGAGCACTCACAGTCTCTTAGAAAATAATAACATTTCTATATTTTTAGAATGGTCTTTAAGACATACAATAGTACATTTTCTATAGTACTGAATGCTAAAATGTCAAGGAAAAATGTCTCTTAAGTACTTTGATTTTCTTCAGAGAAGCAAGAAGTGCACCATGCTCCCCCTCCCTCCCAGTACTCACATCCTGCCATTTCTGATCTTGCTCTTTCAGTTGGGATTTTATTTTCTGCATCTCCTCGTAGCGCAGCTGACGCAGGTTCTGAACATCCTCTGCGGTGACATCGCTCATGGACTTGCTCCTGTCACAAAAACACCTACAATCACCAAGGGTCTTGTGGCTGGGCCTGAGGGTTCACATGAAGACTGGGCTTCTATTTAGAAATTCCACCTAAATATCTCCTGCCCTACCCAGATGCTTTGTTGATAGTGCCCTGAAATAGCACGACACAGATAAATGGGGTTTTTCCAAAGCACAGAAACGAGAGCCTGGCATTCAACTCAGGTGTGAGATGCTTGTGTGTGGTTGGTTTTTTTTTTCCACAAAATGGTCAAAGTAACCTTGAACAGTCCTAAAAACAATAATGCAGTGCTTGTATTTAGAGGAATAATCTCTAAGATTATCTTGGGGGCGGGAAACCATCAGTCACTAACATCACGTTCCTGAATTTGTCTCTGCTCCCTCAAAGATAACCTAGTAAAGTTTGACTGTTTTTGCTAGGCACTTGATAAATAATTTAGTGACTACCTGATATTTTCTCCTCAAGTTCAACACCACGAAAAGATGGGCTGTGTCTTCTCAACGATTCTCTAAGGTCTACAGTACCGCTGTGCAGCTGGACCGGCTCTCGGAAGACCAGGGTAATTTCCCACAGCCTGTCAGAACCACCTCAGATTCCCTCTCCTTCCTCAAGGCAGGGTTCACAGCCTAATTTGCAGCCCCATACATGGACATTCACAATCAGGAGGTAAAGCCAGAGTAGGGTTTCAAAGGCGTTTTCCCCATTACTGTTACATATTTTAAAAGCTGTTGTAAAAACTATTATCTATCTTCTAATAGACTTTGAACTCTCAAAGAGTATAAAGGTGCTTCCCAACCATAGAGAGGCTCATTCACTTGAATTGGCGACTAAATTGGACTATGATTAGTACTCCTATACAGACTACGTGGATGAGAAAGACCTCCCAGAAAGGCAGGGGTCAGGTCAGCACAGGAGCAGCAAGAGGGTGATAGATCCAGAAAGTTTCAGAAGCTAGATGAAATATTCTTTGCTAGTGCACATTACATTCTAAGTAACCATACTATTCATTGTATTAGTGACTCCTTGGGCACCTAAGTTCTGCATTCTCCCGACTGTTCGCCTTCATCACGGTGTTTTCCTTCATCAGACTTGGTGGGTTCCAGAATGCGACTGTAACTACCATGCAAATGCCTCTAGAGGCTACAGCCTTAGGATCTGCCCTCATTGACTCGTTTCCAATTCCTCATGAATAGGCATTTATTCTTGAAAATACCCCTAGGTACCTTGACTGTAAAGCGACCTGCTGAAATGTTATCTGAAAAGGAGTTTTTTAAACTGCACCTCACTAAAACATGGTGTTATTGTTGGCGCAGCCAATCTCCATCCTGCTTTCCCTCTGTGGGGGTTATAATGGTGGTACACGCCCTCGGTCATCTGCATTTGAAACCTAAGAACCACTTTTCGCTTTTGTTTCTTTCTTCTCCTCGCTTTCAGTTAGTTATCTTCTCGTTTAATGCTGCTTTCTTTTCCATTCCGCTTGCCATCAGTCTAGATCAAGGCCCAGGCCACCCTCCTCTGTATTTCCAAAAAAGCTGCTTAAATGATCAGAGAAGGCTTTCCTCAAATGCTCCCTCCAACCCAAAAGTTCTTTGCTGGTGCCTCTCTGCTTTGTAAAACACCACTCAAAACCATGGCTAGGCTCACTCCATAGTTACCAGCTCACCATCTGTCTCCCTCAATTCAGTGAAGGTCAATTCCATCCTTCACAGTTGGGACCAAAAAGCTTGGAGTCACCCAGATTCCTCTCTTCTTCTCATAACACTTATTCCATCCACAACTCTTCAGCTCTCTGTTTCTAGCATCTAACCATTCTCACCTTTTCCTCCTCACCACATTGACCTCCACCATCACATCGTCTGCTTGGAGACTCCCGAAGATCTTTCTGCTTCCACCACCCAGCTCAACGTGCTCAAAGGAGCAGCTAGAGGGACCTTTCTAAGTCCCAGCTAGGTCACGACACACCCAACTCCAGACTTGAGATTCTTCCCGTCATAGTTCTAAGTAGATTTCTTCAACAACCTGCATAGTCTGGCAGGTTGTGGTTCCTTCCTGCCTCTCCATACTCATTTCTAACACTGTGCCCTGGTCTCACTCTCTGCCTGCCAGGTGGCTGTCTTGTGCATGCTCATGCCTCTTGCTTCTCCCCTTGCTCTTCAGTCTGTCATAATACTCCCCATCCAGCAAGACAGCAAGAAGCAATGACTTTGCTTCACTTCCAAGCACCCGCTTAAATACTATGTAGTGTTTTCTTCTCTTTCCAGCCTACGAGGATCTGGAAATGTCTCTCTGAGCTGATCCCACCCCAAGCCTCTCTCCTTGAACATTTATTGACATCTAGAATATTCTTACTCTCTGTTACCTGCTGAGTCCTGTAAGATTATTGGGAATTATGTCTGATTGTGCTGATATATCACTAGGTTTAAAACAAAGACCAGCACGTAGTGAACACTCCGTAAACGCATCCGATCGATGACCTAGATAGTGTTCTACCACTTGCTTACAGCCTTTGTGGCTCTTCTGAGTGAAGTAAGCTGCCCCTTCTCTCACCTTTAGCTAAAGTGTTTTTCATGATGCTAATTCTCGACTCTATCCCATATATGTACCAGCATACCTGTAGCATCTCTCTCACAAGCCATATGCTATTTGGAAAGACAATACCAGCACAGCACCATACATGCAGATTCACTCACTTAGTATCTGTGCTAAGAGGTAGCCGGAGCACAGTTAGCCTGAACTGACCGTGTGGGAAAGCATCCATTTTATAGTATTGCATAGGTTTAGTAGGGAATAAATTACATATAGAATTATGATTATATTATGAATATGAACCTACACATGTATAATATACATCTCACTAGGTTTAACTATATATTAAATTAAATTGTGTGGATTTAAGACTATAAACTGACAGAAGTCATGCCTACAAGGAAAGAGGCCTTTTGAGTTCAAACAAAAATACTCAGTAAGAATTGGGAAGAAAATGGGCAGGTCCAAGACATAAAGGGAGGTTGGCCGTGCACCACATGAAACTACATAGACTGCAAAACAAAAAGGAAGTATTAATTCATAGTCCACTAGTCTTTCCTTGGGAAGAGAGTTGAATCACTGTGTAACCAGCCCAGAACCTTCTGTGGCTGCTCTTCTTACTCTCTTCCTCCTGGCCTGGGAAGCACTGCTGTGGGCTTTCCCACACAGGATGCCAGTCAAAGGTCAGGCTGCCTCTCTCCACTGAGTGCTGAGCTAAGCCTAGCAGCCCAGAGGCACATGGCAAGAACGAAAGTGAGCTAAACATGGTCTAAGATAGAAAAGTCTTTTTTTATAGGTGAGGTTGTGGCAGAGTTTGTTTCTGGGTTATGGAAAGTTACCCCCCACTAAAGCAGCAGGACTGCAATAGGAGTCTGCGTAGACTTCAGCAAGAGACAAGAAGTCGGGGCTTCAGATTCAGCTGTAACACAGGCTTTTCCCCACTGAACAGACATCAATTAGTTCCCTTCTCAGAGCCTTGGCTCCTCATCCACTAAGATATGATAACTAGGTAAGACTATGCTAGTGCACTTTTTAAAAATCTGGGGTTGTATACCAATTCTTACTAAGGCAGATGTGACCAAATGGAACCGCGTAGACGCTAACCCTATAAACATGGCTTTCACATTCGAACGGTGGCCCCAGACCACACAGATAAAATCTAGAACTTCTAGAGTACAAAGATGATGAAGTGTTTCTTTCTTTATCAGCATTAACCACATGACATTAAAGTCCCAGGAGTTCCTTGGGTGGCAACAGCACTGCCAAGCAGTCTCTGTGAGTTGCCTCATGAGGCACAGCCCCAGTCCGGTTCTACTACTTGAGAGCCTCCATCCTTGGGAAAGCTGCAATCTCTGTCTGCGGAATGCAGATAACACCCGCCTGTCTGCCGCACAGAACTGAGATAAGCCCCAAAGAAAGCATCCAGGAAATTACGAAGGACATGCCCAGCACGGACAATGAGCAGGTAAGTCATGCTTTCTCTTAGAACTGCCTGCTACAGTTCGTTATAATTCCTTCTCTTAGAACTGCCTGCTATTATTGATTACAATTCCCTATTCTGAAGGTGCTAATTTACAGCTTCATTTGTATTTGCAATCCCAAAATGCAGGTGTACCAAGCATCTTGCTTTTTCAATTAATTTAACAGTACTGGTTGGGGGAGGAAGAGGAAGAAGTTTAGGAAGGTTACCTATAAATCACTGATCTCCTTGTACTTCTCCGACTACAAGCGATGCTTCTGGCACTTTCGGATGGAAACAAGGACTATTACCCTGAAATCCAGCTTCAGTGAACTTACAGCGGACTGTCTAAAGCAGTGGTTCTCACCTTCCTAATGATGTGACTCTTTAATACAGTTCCTCGGGGTGTGGCAACTCCAACCACAAAATTATTTTTGTTGCTACTTGGCAACTGTAATTTTGCTACTGTTATGAACTCTAATGCAAATATCTGTGCTTTCTGAAGGTCTTAGGCGACCCCTGTGAAAATGTTGTTCAAACCCCAAAGGAGTCACAACCCACAGTTAAGAACCACTGATCTATAGAAGAAAGAGTCCAAGGAGACTGCTCTTTGCAGCCTTGGGTAGCAAATAGAAATTTAAAAAGAGTAAGTTAAGGATTACTACCTGGGAAAGCAATATAAGTACAATAATTTATTTAACTATATATGTTTTCATTGGACCCTGTACGATTTCGTGAACAATAACCAGTGTTAAAAATCTGTGTGAGACATTTTGAAATAACCATCAAATAAAACAAGAGCATAAGCAGGAATTTTCATTTAGAGATTTGCCTACTTATTTGGGTTTTTCAGCATCAATGCTATTAATATTTCAGTCAGAAAATCGTTTGCTATAGAGAGTTACCATAGGGCTACCCTGGGTATTGTAGGACATGCACAAAGCAGTAAATGTAGACAGCACACATGCTTGGCTGCAACATGAGACGTATTCTAGATATAACTAGATGTCACCTGGAGTGGAAAAGAAAGTCTGCAGAAAATAATCAAACTCAACTTGTCTCCCTTCCTTTCTGCCTGCCTTGATGCTATATCCTGACAATCCTACAGAGTCATTTGGTCGAGCTCTATAAGAAATGTAAAGTTGCTTTAGTTGTCTTTGACTGCCAATTCACATAAGCAATTGGTATTGATCTCTTTGGGATACTGATAACAGGCTCAGTGGTTATCACATTGCAAGATGGTTTATACATTTCCTTGTAAACTTTGTCAGTACCATGTTTGTATCAACCAGTCCCCAAACTTCATAGAACCACACAAATGGAAATTCATGCAACACAAAGACACACACATGAGAACTGGAAGCCACACAGAAAGCATCGTAGTAAACATAATGTGTTACATGCCAAGTAAAGCTTAGTAAGACACTTCCATAGCATGCACAAGCACTAAAAACCACATAAACGGCAAGCTAGGACTTACTAGGCAAAGAACCAAAATCAAATACTACACATTTCTCTTCAAATTGGTCTTTACCACAAAGAAAGTATTCACAAGATGGGCAGTTGGTTTTTAATTACAAGGTATAAAACACTACTGCTTTTCTACGATATTATTTTTGGAGAAAGTTCACCTAGCATAAATGTGAAATAAGTGGTACATTAAATGCCTACAAGTAATTCAATTTTTGCTTATATTTTAGTCTCATTGTAAGAAATCAATGTAAGGAAATCACTGATAACTATAAACTTAGGAGAAAAAGAAAAAAAAAAGGAACAAACCTACAACTTCTCCTAAACGGAGCTGCATTTTCTAAGACACACTAAGTCCCCTTATCTCACAAGTCATGTATTATTCATTGGTCTCAATTAACCAATCATCTTGCTTTATTTGTGTAGCTACCTTAGTACTACCCTGCATAAGAAATTTTGAAACAGCTTCTAAAGCAAACACTGTGCTATTCAAATAACCAAACAATTATTTGGAATTGTCCAGTGTAAGCATTTGCTGCTGTCTGTTATGGATCAGAAAAATACCTTAGCATCCTGAGGCTGAATATCTAAGTTTTCATGTTTTGTGGTTAGGGTGGGTGCAGAGTGTTGGGGAATGAACTTACAGCCACAGGCAAGCTAGGCATGAATTCAGCCATTGAGCCAGGGGTAATTCAAGTCTCATAACAACCCTTACACTATGGAAAAACAGGTAGGGTCAAGACAGAGAGGTAGTTAATTGTGTGTTTACATAGCCCAAGTACTTGGGCTCTCGGTACCTGTACCGCCTTTAGAAAACTGTTCCAGGCATGTGGTTTTGCTATGAAGTCAAACATGATTACAAATGAAAATTCCTCATGAAAGTCATTTAGAATGCGTGAGGGCTCAAGAGGACTTTAAATCAAGTTAAAACAGCTTTCCTACGACAAGTATGATCAGATATTGGAGTGTTATATCAAAGCCTGGCTTCTTCACCCTCACAGATGAGACCCTTGTGAGCACACAAGGCTGTGGATACAAGTGAGGGAGGGACAATGTGCCTTCACACGCCATCCGGGAAGGAGTCATTGTAAAGGTTGCCCCTCACTCAATCACAGTTTCGCTATCTAGCCTTGTGATAGTGATATCACGCTGTGATGATTCAGCCAGAATCTTGGTAGCTTCTAAAGATTTCTAAACTACTGAGATTATTAAAACTCTTAAAATTAGAGATTCTGAGAGACAAGATGAACCACGGTAAGGGGAAGCTACTCAAGTCCCAAGACTGATTAAAATATTGGTCTTTTTCAACTTTCCCTCTCTTCCTCAAACTATTGCCAATAACTTCCACAGTTACAGAGAGCCTGGGGATACTGGGTTGAGAATAATTGACTTAGTTTAAAATAGTCTAGAACTTGGAAAAACATTGAGAAAGTCAGTTTTATATTAGTCATATTTACCCAATGAATATTAAATACCAGTAGACCAAACCTGAGAAATAGTTTAAATAAAGTTCTTGTAACAACATTGGAAACTACCAAGATTATTTTTTATAATTTTGAAAGTCTACTTTGCTCTTTATAGGCAGTCATGTTACAACTAACTTTCTACCCTACTCAAGAATCTTAAAAATATTTCCCCAAAAATATTAACATTCCCCACTAACAAAGCTCCTCATAAGCTAAGAACATGAGTTTTGCAAGCTGCATGAATTCTTACATTAAGCAAGCAGTAATGTCTTTCCCTATCATAAACTTTCCCAAATGCAGTTTGTCAGGGAGACCTTCAAGAACCAGAAACCAGAAGCTTAGTGAATTTTAGGAATTAAATACCAAAATGAACATATCCTTAGGTTCTTGCTACTTTCAACCGTTAAATGAGAAGTAAAAGGGGTGGAGTTAAAATTTAATACAGCAAAACTGTTATCGCTTTACATAGCAATTCATGCATTGCACTGGGTATTTAGATGCAAAAATACTGCTATGTGGTTGCAATGTTAATCAAAAGTAAAAAAAAAAAAACATGCACTGCACATCGCGGCCCATTTAGTAACATGCTAAGACACAGGTGCAGCAAGTCACAGGAGACACAAACAAATGTGCACGTGTGTTGTTAACGTGAACCATAAAACTTACCCATTCTCACCATAAATCTTTTGAAAGAGTCTAAGAAACCAAAAAACCAAAGGTTAAAAGGGTCACTCTTTCCAGCTGTGTTAGTTTCTCAGCATTAAACATCTTTAACTTGAGTCTAACTGGAAATGGGCGAATCTGAACAAGTTGGCCCTTAGCCACTTTTTAATATTTCAAGTTTTAGTCAGCCTCCTGGAACTCGGGTCAAATAATAACAACATTTTCTTAATGTATTCTGAGTCAACGAATTTGTAAGACAAGGCCTCCCCTTGCCAGGAACTAAGGTAGAGATTTGGGGCCATTCATTATTCAGCCTCGTCAAATTTGCCCATTCCCAGCTCATAGTGAGCAGAACAGCCAGCAGAAAGCTGCCTGGCTTATGTTACCAAAATGGTCACAACTACAAACAGAGTTTGACAGACTCATGCATTTTAATGGTGCTTGCACTGAACTTTACAGATAAAACATACTACAAATTGATAGTTCAAGAAACCTAGATCAACAACAAAAATCAAGTTAAATGAAATCTGCAATGACATATCTTAGGAAAATATTTAGTTCAATAAAAGACACTGCAAAATATGATAAACACATAAAACCAAACCACAGCCAGACTACTACAGAGATGCTATGAGGATAAAAACCTGTAAATACAATTAGAAAATACTTTTATCCAATTTCACACTGGAACAAAATGATGGACACTTCCAAGCGAGAGGCAAGCTTTGCATATACCTTCTCAAATCATCCTAAGACGTGTAAATATGGAATTGAACTTCTTCCATGAAATGACTAAAAGTTTCTCAAAGCCAAATAATTGTTTACAGGATGCTTCAAAATGGCACACAACATGCAGAGCTGAGACAACTGAGGCGGCTTTTTTTTTTCATAAGAAAATTTACACAAGACCATCATCCATCACAAGCAAATCCTTGCAGAAACACACTCTGACCTCTCAACCATCAGCCGCTTCCTGTGCCTAAGTCTGCTGGCCTCCCGGATGGCCTCCCACTTCTGCAGGTCGGCCTCGCTGCAGGGGCCAGGCTTGAAGCTGACAGGAGGCACAGCAGTCCCCAGCTTCCATGATTGGATCTTGCGAGTCAACATGTCGTCTCTTTTCTGTCGGTGGGAAGGGACTAAGACTCGGCAGCCACTGCTTCTTTCTTTGGGTGGGCATGTCCTTTCGAGGGCACAGAGAAATTTTGCTTGGATTTCTGGAGGTAAGGTCCAGGGTTCAGGAAAAGGGACTGGCTGGTATCTGTCGGGGGCCCCAGACAGCGGCACCTCTTTCTTCTGTGCTGGGATCCGACGAACAATCATATCGTCTTTTTCTAAATCTGGAAGTACAAGTTCACCTTCCCGACACTGCAAAATTATATCTCTTTCAACAGCATCGTCTGGCTCAGAGAACCTTCGAATGTCTTCAAAGGCTCGAAAAACACAAGGATTTGCACGGAAAGCCCCAGTTTTTCTGACAAAGAAATCATCATTTTCTAAGTCAGGATCCAAGGCTGTCAGCTCAAGGTCATCTGCTTGATAGCCTGGTGTGTGAGAGAGATTTTTTCTGCGAGTTATGAGCCTTGGGCCAGAGGTGGGATCGAGTTTGACATTTGTATCCGAAGACAAGATGTCATCAGAGTATGTCTGAAGGGCCTGAAGCAATAAAAACTGACTGAAGCACAGAAAAGAAAAAGGAAGGGAGAGTTGTGTTAAGTATGAGAAGAATGGTAATTAGCCAGCAAACAAACCAGTACTTATCGGGATGGATTGTTAGGAGCCACAGGAGGGAATGTAACAAACAAGACAAATACTCAGCGCTAGTCTCTGTGACTTTCCTGGGTGTCATCTAAAGAGACAGCCACAGGTTATACTTCCCAGGAAATTTGGACGCTGTCAAGGACAAGAGATGGATCTATAACTCCAATCATGTGTACCTCCCTGGGATAAGCATGGGTACCAGTCCTGGTGCCATCTTCCTAATTCTATTCTCCATAGTGGCCTCATCCCCTCCCTAGGGAGGGATGCATGATCTTAGAAAGTGATGAGTATGCCATCACATACTTTACATCACAGTGCACATCATGGTCATAAAAATAACAGAGTGGTCGAGAGTCTTACAAAAGTCCCTGAGGTGTTTTTAGGTTTGGATTCTCCAGACTTACCCTTCTTGGTATCTATCTAAAAGGATTTCCTTTCTCTTCTCACAACAGTAAATTTAAATCGTTTTTTTATAAAGCATTTTTTGTAATGGGTTTTCAGAAAGAATTCATGCATATAAATACTAATCGCCTTGCACGTTATTGCATTAATAGCATGTTGATTCCTATAGCCATGTGCCAACACTCTCATGCAGAAGGCAGTAGTTATACACTGCGCCTTTCTCCTATGTCATTAAATTTCCATGACTCAATATTTAGGGCCTAGGTTAATGTAGCAGCAGAAGCAGGCAGACAAGGTGTCCAAGGTCAGTCACAAGCAGGTAGCTCAGACAGGTGCACCTGGACTCTCTCAAAGCACCGCTGGTCCTCCTGGCTGCATAGGCGTCCTGTGACCTCATGGCATGTCTGGTGGCTCGCTCCAGCAAGAGTGAAGGTCTTGGGTAGTTGCTGGCTAACCTGTTCTCTGCCTTTTCTAGTCTACTAAAAATTGTGGCGCTTCTGAGGGAGCCTGAGTCCTCATCCTCAGAGTCTGAATTCCACCTGCCATGGAGTGACGTGGAGAAAAGGAGAAAGAGAAGCAGAGAAGAAATGGAGAATGTAAGTTCTGAAGTCTATGCCAAGCTAAATGCAAAAGGGGGCTTCTCAAAGGCTAGAGTCTGAAGTTTTTAATCATGCTCCTGTCATTGTTGTGTTTTAATAATAATAACATAGGTCATGGGCAGTTTACTAAGAAAAGATAAAAGGTGCTCCCAGGGGTACAAGTGAGCTTAAGGTAGGTCAAAAAGCCCTCTTTTGTTTCAGAGAAGGGGTCTTATTTTGAAACCTAGGCTCCTTTCAAACTTTTAATCCTCCTGCCTCAGCCTTCAGAGTACTGAGATTCTAGGCCTGTGGCCCCGTGTCCAGCCCTGGGATTAAATTTAAACATTTTTTTATAATTATGAAGTTTTATGGACGTTAGAGGGCCAATAAGCCTTTTTCTATCCCTAATTGAAGAAACAGGACACAGAATACACCAGACTGGGGCAGAGAACGAACACCAGGCCAGGGGCATGCACCAAGACAAACCTGAATCCCTGAAACTCCTTATACCAGGGCTTATAAGTCTCCCTCTTTAGTTTTTTCCAGCTCATATCTTCTGGGCTCCAGCACTTGGGAAGAAACTGATCAAAAGAACCCCCTGGGCTTGGCACGACTGGACTCAGCTTTCGTACATAGAGATCGTCCTTCACAAGGTTGGGGATGCGCGTTATCTTTTCCTCCTCCTCTTCCAAATAACAAGAGGAGGTTGACGTTTCGTGGACTGTGTGCCAGCGCTCCATCTTGGGACCCCAAGTCCTCCTCCGGTTACTGTTCAAAATATCCAACCACGTTAAGACACTGGGTGAGCAGTTTGTGGCACAGAACCCAAAGGTCATTCATTCCACCTTACCCCTGTGAATGAAGCAAATTAACTCCCAGTCTCCACACCACGGCTCCTAGGACCAAGTTAAAGATTTTACAGCAGCACCTCACCCAAATTAGAGACAAGCTCGACATACAAGGCTGTGTTATGAGAAAGACACGTTCCAAACACATTGGATGTTGCTTTCTCATTTCAATCAATAGCATGAGAGACACCCAGATGCAGGACAAATATATTTCTGATATCTATTTCACATCACCAGTGTGCATAGCCCAGAGGCTAACACATCAGGAGAAAATGCTTGAGGACAAAACCTGACAGCAGTAGTCTGCGAGATGAACCCCTCAGGTCTCCTTTTCATGTGAAATTTATAGTTGACTAAGTCATCCGAAAACACATCAGGCAAACCTTTGTTCATCAACAGGGTCAGAACCACTCTGAGAACCGCACAGCACAGCATACAAAAAGACAGATTTGGAAAATCATCCTTTGCGTTTCTGATAATTTGATAGGAAATTAAGGGTTTCTTTCCATGCCCACTGCTATCCACGGAAAAGAAATGTAACTGAAGGAAACACAGCAGGGCTCACGATAGACCACATCGTTGATCCAGTGACCAGAAATACGCCAATAAACTGAGGGCATGCATCTAAAAGAAGGTCTACTCCTCAGATGCTGATGTTCTGAAACAGAGCAACTGTCTTCAGCATATGTAAAACAGAGTGAAAATCCAGGTAGGAGAAGAAATCCCCATTAGTGATATGTGTTACTACATGTTAGGAACCATTCCCTGAACGACATTAAATAGCGCCACAACTTCAGAAAACATTCTGAACTCCACAACCACAACTCATGACATTACCTTGAAAATGTCCCGTCTGATTCCGTGTAGACTGGGTTTGCCCAGCTTCTTCTGTTGTCCTCGTTTTTGTCTGTCCTTTTCTTCCTCAGAGGCGCTGGTACGTAGGACGACTGTTTACTTTTGTTGGGCAAGAAGTGGTTGAATGGTAGGGCCGACTTCGGCTCAATGGCTGAAATCCTTCGATAGGACATATCATCTTTGTTGTAATCCTGCATCTTGAATGTGATTTCCCAGTCTGTGTCACTCTCGAAACCTATAAAGGCACAAGGACTTGCTTTACTCGCTGCCAGTAAATTCCCGCTGAGTCCCTTCCACCCAGCATAGCCACTTCTCCCCCTGGAAACCCTGTGCTGCTGCTAAAAGGCATGAGTATTTTTAGAACTTTGTCAAGAAGTTGTGATAAGACCCATGGGGAAGGGCTTGCTCCCCATACTAGAGGCACACGCAGTTCAATCTGCTGTCGTACGTAGTAAGCAGATAAGACCCCAATCCCCTGCTCAGTCCCTTCCTTTCCCAACCTTCTTTGCCACGAGGATATGTTTGCTGAGGTATAACCCGTGTGATGAAATCTAGAAATCCAGTGAGACAGCATAACTCGACGGGAGTTCAGAAATGTAAGAAAAGGCGGGAAGCCGTCGGATTTATAGGAAGTGACAGGCAGTTTCAGAAACCAAAGGAAGACTGCACAGGTTTCCATAGTGACAGCTAGACCCCTGAAAGATCACTCATTCCGACAAGGACACTACGCCACAGAAGACAACTAGATGATACCTGGAATCCTAACAAGTTAAAGCTTATGCCCACACGAGACCACAGAACTAAAGATGTTCCCTTTCAGATGCGAAGGAACTATAATGGGAATCAGCAATTGTGATTAAAAATTTACTTAAAAGCAAACTTAGCAACAACCACCATACACCAAAAAAGCCTTTTTGATAATTCCAATAACAGAAAGATATAAATAATAATATATTCTCTAGTTGAAAAACTAACAAACCCAGATGTTTTAAAACACGGTAATAAAGAGAATAACCATATAGACCCAAATGGAGAACTCTTTCCTGCCCTTCAAGCTCCCTGCCTCAGGTGCCTTTGAAAAACCCAGGTAGTTGGTAAGTGTTGCTTGCTTCCTCCCAGCTGCAGAGGGCAACTCCGCTCAGCTCATGACTAATGACTTTTAGCACACCTTCCAGGTTAACTTGACCTAAAGGCCACTTGCCTTTGTCACCTCCCAGGCGGGAATGTACAGTAAACAATGCCAATATGGCTCAAAGGAAGTGGTCGGTCTGACACAGCTGTGTCACAGGTCAGGTGAAGGGGCAGTGAGGGCAGAAAGGGAGAATGGCTCGGCAGCCATGGCCAGGAAGGCCAGAAGACATGAAAAAGGCATGAAGAAGGCATGAAGAAGGCATGAAGATATTTCTGTTTTCCTTTGCTTTGCTTTGTTTTTAACTCCTTCTAACTGAGGTGGGGGGGGGGACAGAGAGAGACAAAGAGAGAGAGAGAGGAAGGGAGAGAGGGAGGAAGGGAGCGAGCAAACTTATCCTTACCAAAACTGATTGAAGGAATATGAAAATCACAGACTATTTGACTGTTGAAATTTTAAACTTAAAAATCTTTCTTTTAGCTAATACAAATTTTATTTGTACAAATATCACACTTGCTATGTTTCTATACAAAACTCACGAACTGCACAATTTCTAATCCTAAAAATATTATCCTAATTACGGTTACCACCCACTATAATTATGTGGGCAGCAGCATTTTAATAGAGTAATCACAGAAAAGCTTCATTCTCCTGAAACCCACTTCCCTCCCACCACCCTACTTATAATTGTCCTGACTTCTACAGTCAGTAAACAAGGTCCCCTTCTCATGTGACCTAGGGGCCTTCTGCTTACATCACACATCAGACATGGCCCATACGTCAAAGGAGACTCAGATCTTGCTCCACGGAGTCTCTCTATTTTGATGACAAATCCACACAGGCCACAAACCCACAACCTTTCCTGCTGTTATTCTTCGACAGGCAAACACAAGTTCAAACACAGCATGCTGTAAGTTTCTCGGTCAGGGAAAAGGAACATAGTGGACTGACATTTTCAGTCTCAGGTTACAACTTTGATTGCTCGGATGAACTGCAAACTTAAGATTTATTTCCTTACAGATATGATCATTTTCATCTGAGCCCTGAAAAAGCCATACCTCGGTAGGGAACGGCCAACAAAAACAGTGGCAGTTGCAAAGGTCAGTTCTAAAGCCATTCACATAGTTCTACTATCACGGCTCTAAAAGTTAAAGAAGTTAGTTTTGCTGCCATGCTTCCGTGAGTTTTAGAAAACAAACTTATTATTTGTGATATCTGAGATTTTGCATAGTCAAAGTCTTAGGTAAAATATTTCTGTCCACAGTCAACAAACCAAAAAGCCACAAAGATGGAGCACAAGCTCACAATCAGAGCTCCCATTTCATTCCTGATAATGATGATGTTTAAAGCACAGAAATGCTTTAAAAGGAGAAACCTGTTCTTGGAAGTGCTGGGGTTTAACCTTGAGAGTCTCACGGATATTGGCCACAGGCTCTATCACTGGACTATAGCCTCAGGATTTAAAATGTTATCTGTGGTTTCTGGTAAGATTAAGACAAGAAAGAAACATACTCGGAAAGTAGACTATTCACAGACTCTTACCCACTTCATGCTTAGATACATGAGGTAACAGCCTTGTTAGATAGCTATTGCTAAGCCTCTGTCTGAAGACTTTCTCACTGACAAAATTTAGTCACAGTGAGCCAGTAAGCAATCTCCTCACAAGTCCTGTCCAAATAGAGAAGTTAAAAGGGGGGGGGGGGGGGGCTGGAATTACTCTGAGGTATGAGGGAGGGAAAAAGCCAAAAATAACATTTAAAAACCACCTAATTTCATAGACTTATTAAGATCTACATCTTGATGAATCTTTGAAAAGTTGCATTCCGTACTTTGTCTCCTCTGCTATTTTCTCTTCAAACACAAACAAGCCAAATAAGCCTACATCCCAAGACACAGCTCACCTTCCTTCCCACCTCTGAGCGTGAGATCTGAGGAGCAGCTGGTCAGGGATCTAGACCCCAAGGAGTCCAAGCTTTCAAAGGAATCTTCCCTCCTATGGCTACCTGGAGGGGCAGGAAATTCTCCTCTGTCGGGACTCCAGATATCCCCGTAGCCACTGTCACGGCCACTTCTTTTCAGGCAGCTAGAGTCTTCTAGAGCCTGAAGGAGAAACATCGTACAAAGGACCAGTGAGTGAACATGGACTTTCCCAAGTGCAAAAGCATTGATTAGTTAGGGAGAGAAGTCGACAGGATTTTCCTGTTCAACAAAAGAGAAAAAAAAAAGTTAAAAGCACATTTTCTTTTCTCCACAAACTGTACGATGGGGTGGTATTCAAAATTCCACATAGATACCTGAAATTATTTAATAAAGTAGCTATATAATCCATACACAAGATAAAGTACTAATAAAAACAGCTTTGAAATGCCGATCAATGATTTATATCTTTGTCTGGTAGAAGAGATGAAAGAAATCAAAGAGAAAGCCATCGTAATGTAGGCACACAAAAGGGAGGCACACCTTGAAAATGTCTCATTTTTTTCTCCAGGATTTGTCTGAGGTTGTTTATGTTAAACATAAGACCAGAGTGATGTTCTGTTGTCCTATCTGTCGTCACGGGAAATCCATTATCTTAAAGAGCAGGGAGGATACCATCATGGAATTTGTTTATTTCACTGATTATGCAACTTAGATCGAGACGCTGGCAATATTGAGTCAAGGGTAACACACATGCTTGCTGGTATATAAAACTTTCCTTCCTTCGATGAAAAGAAAATAGCTATGTGGCTCTTATATAAATAAGAAATACATGAAAATTGGGCAAAAGCTATCCCATCTACGATTATAACTTTCGTAGAACTTTCCCAAAATAAGCCATTTTAATTAACACACCTCTGAAATTTAGTGAGCCTAGATGACCTTTGAAAAATTAGGACCTAAATGAAAATCAACAAAGTTAATCTCAGGTGACGAGTAAATAACATAAGAATAACAAACTATAACTTGCAAACTTGGATTGAATCTTGATTTAACTTTTAAAAACTATGAAAAATAGCTGGGAGACCACATAAAATAGATTCAATCATCTATTAATTGAGGATTAATTTTGATGAGATTTCTCAAGTGTTACTATAGCTATGCAGAAAAACATTCTTACTCTTTTTAGAGATGGACTCAGTGAATACAGGAGTGAGGCAAGGCATCTCAATTCATCTTCAAATGGTTAAGTGAAAACACAGGCAGCTGGGCAGACATTATTACAGAAAGCCAAAATGGAAACACTTCATCAGGTAATAATGAGGTGAGGTTTGCAGGTTATTGTCTCAGTGTTGTATCACAAACACTTTCAACCGATGAAGCAGGGCTGTGCTCATGACAAGCGCCAGCAGCTGTTTGAAGCAGACTTCTGCCGAAGTTAGACCCGTCAGCTCGTGTGCCAGTGTCCAGCAAGTATTTGAAATGCCAAGAATGGCTAGTACAGAAGTTCTGGATTAGCATTGAACTTGACAACCTGGCATGAAAATGCCAGGGTCTACCTTTTCTCCTGCCACTTGCAACCAAATGGGGAAGCCAAGCTTAGTATCAACAGGCTACGTCTCAAAATATAAGATTAATATTTTAAAGTCAATCTTTAGCTCCATCAGGTCTCTCGAACACATAATTTTTGAAACCTCAGAGTTAACACAATTTGACCTCTGCTATCATCAATGTTAATACGACTGACAATGAGTCCTGTGACCTGTTATAAATAACTCAAGTCTGCCCATGCAGTCTGGTTTTTGAGGACTTCACCCTAACCGGTTCCCCCAAAGTGAGTCATCCCCAGTATATAATCTGACTCAGATATAGCAGCTTCTACTGAGTATTGTTTCAATGCTGTTTCCAATTGGCTTCGTCATTGCAAGTGAACTGTGGAAGTACACTTGACACAGCACCTTCATCTTAAAAGAAGCAAAACAAACGGTAGGTTCGCATGCCTCTTGTGTCTACTCCCACCAGGTAAAGGAAGAATAGGACCAGAACCACAATCTTAGCTATAAAAAAAAAAAGTCTTTGGACCATTCTGACTTTGATATGGACGACTGTGAACAGCCTTTAAGGAGGCATTCCTAGTACAAGCTCTGCACTGCGATTGCTCATCCTGAGTCATTGCCATAAAAAGTGGGAAAGTCTGCGAAGGACACTAGTCCCCGAGCCCGTGGCCCCTGTGTCCTCTAACTGCAGAGTTCCTGAGTCCAAAGGGCTGCGAAGCCAGGTTTCCATTGTACCCACAAACCCTGCAATTCTCTCACCAGAGCCTCACCCTCTTCAAGGCAGGGGCTGATCTGCTTTCTAAGCTAAGGCAGGTATGCTTGCTAGGAGATGAGTCAGTCCCTCTCCAACGTACAGCACACTGTGAATGTGGGCACTACCTCCACTACTGTCTCAGGTAATTCATCCAAAAGGGGTGGATACAGAACTGCTCTTTTCTGAGTGTTCATGTACGCATACAATACATATGCGTGGCAGCACACATGTGTGTGTAGAGGTCAAAGGTCATTCTCCAGTGTTGTTTTTCAAGAGGCATCCACCTTGAGTTTCTTTTGTTGTTTTGTGTTTCTGAAGACCGAGACGGGGTGTCTTGTTAGTTTGTACATTGCCAAACAGACTATACTACCCTGCCGGGGAACCCCAGAAATTCTCCTGTCCTTGCCTCTTCAGTGCTGGAATTACATGTGTGTATCACCACACTCTGCATGGATTCAAGGGTCAGACTCATGTCCGCATGCTTGCAAGAGCATTTTACCACCTGAGCTGTCTTCCCAGACCTAAAGAGCTATCAAGTCCTTACAATTAGAGAAAATAAGTGTGTAATCCCATTTCTTTATAATATGCACATGGCCTGATACAGGCAAAGTATTTTTAAAGACGTGGATAGATAAAGGCGAAGCCAATCATTTTTATCATGTCCAAATACTTCTCTGTTCTACTCATAACTAACATTTATTTCATCCTCATTGTGAGAATGAAATGTATCAGAAACATTCAATATCTTTCTTATTTAATCATCAGAAAAATCTCACAAAGCAAAGTACTAAGTACTACTATATAGATGGTGTTTTATTATTTTAAGCATCTATCTTCTTCCAATTATTATAAATGCCCTGGTTGAATACCTAGTTACACAGAGAAATTAGTTTTCCACTAGGCTCCTATAAATGAAGATTTTCTTGACAAAACAAAAATCACTATGTTTTGCCCTCAGTGCTTGGCCCTTCTCAAATAGTCCACAAGGCTTAAAAGCCTGTTACAATGATCCTGGGATATGAAAGAACAGAAACATAGATAAAAACAAGGGCTCTGGGCTTGGTAGTTAAGAGCACCTGCTGCTCTAGTTCAGTTTCCAGCACCCACATCAGGCATCTTGCAACTCCATATATATATATATATATATATATATATATATATATAGTTCTATATAACTCCAGGGCACCTGATGGCCTATTCTGGCCACCAAGGTCACCAGCATTCTTGTATGTATTCCCATGTGTGTGTGACGTGTGTGTGTGTGAGTGTGTGTTTGTGTGTGATTACAAATAAAAAACTTAAAGTGAAATAAAACAAGTGTTCTAACTTTAAAATCTCCCCAGGAGACAATCACAACTCATGTCTTCAAAATCCCAGCAGTTGGGAGATAGAGGTAGGAAGGTCAGAAGTTCAAAATCATCCTGGCCAGTTCAGAATAGTCTAGATTACTTGAGGGTGTCTTAAAACAAGAAAAACTTTATTAAGTTCCACTTAATATGCATTATTCCTCAGTGAACACTGGCAGTGTGAAGATATCGAAATGAAGTCACTAGATAATTACCCATGACAAGAACAGAATAATAGAAAGAAACTCAGTAACTCCTATAAACATGAATAGCCCTAAAAATGCCTTTTTTACTGCAGATTGAGCTCACAATGAGTGTAGAAACAGTTAAGTTATATTGTATATAAAAAGCAATGGATGTGTCATCAAATTACCTAAAATTAAGGACATAAAATTCTATACCTTGAACCTGCTCTGGCACAGAAAAACTTCTTGATAGAAGCACATTAAGCCAGAGAGCAAGTAGCCAACCTGCCTGCGTAGCCCTGTCTAGGAAGGAGCACAGGCAAGCTCCATGTCTGCTACAGAGGAGCCTTGGGAGTGGACAGGAAGAGCATGATGACGTAGGCGCACACATCACAGTCGTAGTTTCCTAGGTGGTGTTGGTTTCCTTACCTTTGTCAAAGCCTGGCCCAACAGAGTCTCAAAAGCTTTCAGATTGAGATAGGGACCATTATAGTAGGGATTATTTTGTGCTTTTCTTCCCAGCCAGTACAAAGTTATCAACACCTAAAGGGAAAGAAGAAGAATGGTGGATTGGTAACCAAGTGCCAGTTCAACCACAGGTAGGTAAATTGTAGCTCACAAATGATACTTTAAAGTTGAAAAGCAGACTCTTAAATGTATGATAAGGAATGCAGCCATTAAAAAATCATAATTGTTCTTGATATATTTTGTTATTTCAGAATGGGTTCTCAGACCAAAAGTCACAGAACTTAATAGACAATCATGCATCCTACTTTGGGGAAGAAGAAAAAAATAAGAGAAAAACATGAGGGTTGGTGACATGACTCAGGTGGTAGAATGCTTACTTAGCATGCAGGAAGTCTTGGGCTTTCCCCAGCATTGCATGAAACTGGGCCTGGTGGTTCATAGCTGTACCCTCATCACTTGGAGGATGGAGGCAAGAAAATCAGAAGTTCAAGGTCATATGCCTACACAGAAACTGTGAGAACAGATTGGGCTACATGACAGACTGTCTCATAAAACAGAGAGGTCTAAAATGCAAGAGAAACTCTGTGTGTGTGTGTGTGTGTGTGTGTGTGTGTGTGTGTAAGACAGAGACAGAGAGAGTCAGAGAATGCATGCAGGTTCACAGGTGTAGAGGAAACAGGACACCTTCCAGAAGCTGACTATCAATTTATATATAAATATATATTTGAGGCAGGGCCTTCTCTAGTTGCTTGATGTTCCACAATGTATGTCTGGCACGAGTTCCTTTGTCTCTGACCCCCATCTCACCCTAAAACTGCTGCAAATACATGCACACTCCTGTATCCAGCTTTTTCCATGGGTTCCAGGGATCAAACTCAGACCACCAGGCATACACAGCAAGCTCTTCTACCCACTGAGGCACCGTCCTGGACCACAAGGGAAACTTTTTATGTCAATAGTTTCCTGATAAAACTACCTAATAAACACCTAAAGTCAATAATTCGTAGCTTGCTTGATGTGCATACTTTTAAATAAAGCTGTTACTTTTAGATATTCTTCTATAATTTTGCAATATCAAGGACATGATACTAGCATAGACTCAATAAGCATCTAGAGTTCTTAAGCCATCCTGTTGTCCCTTAATGTCTAACTAGATAATCTCCTGATTGCTCCCCTAAAACTTTTAAATTGAGTTTGATGTTTATAAATAGAAACACAACAATCAGTCTCTGAAACTTAATCTCTCTTATGCTGGAGTCAGGTCTACACAAAAATCTAACGTTGAATTATAATACATATACTGTATTACATACGGATTGTATAATATTTTATATATATTTATATGTCTTATACAAATATATTATATATAATTATAATATATACATAACAATGTTTAGACGCTAACTGGTTGGTTTATTATATTATAATACATAATGTATGTATTATAATTATATAAATAATATATACATAACAACACTTAAACTCTAACTTTTTGGTTTCTAGGTAAATTTTAATCAGAAGAAATGACACAGAGTATATTCTTAGATCTCTATGATTTTACAGAACATAAAGGAAAAACTATTTATAAATCTCCATTAAATAAAACTTACATTTTTCAGTCTCCTGTCAGTCTCTTCTTGCCTGTAAAGAAAGAGAGCATATCAATTATATCCATGAACCTTAAATTAACTCTAAGTAAAATTCATTTTCATTATAAGGTCCATCAGTATTAAAACCACTGTGAATATTCAGAAATCTTAGCGCACATATCACAAGATATTACCATAGTCATTGGTTTAAATATTACAGTAAGTTTTCTTAAATGTTAATACTAATAAAGCCATTTGCTCTGTTTCTTGTTTTATCCATAATAGTCTGATGAGTTATTCAATTTTCTGTAAGTAGTATTTAAATGCAATCTGAAAGTTCTAAGCAGAAATCAAAGTATGTATACAACAGGAAAATTGGGGAACACACAACTGGGAGGAGAAAAGCAAGTACATGGCTTTGCATTGAGCTTTCCCCTTCGCTGTCCACGGGTTTTCTTGGACACTGTGTGTGGTTTTCTGCACACTGCTTAGAAAACCTAGCCCTGCTGAAGATGAAAATTTCAGTTTTAAAAATTCCTGAGGCAGGAACAGGACCTGATGGCTTTGACCCCATTACTGGTAAGGGAGAAATAAGCAAATGTCTGAGAGTTCAAGGTCCCTAGGTCTAGTGAATTCCAACCAGGGCTAGTTAGTGATACCTTATCTCAAAAAAAAAAAAATGCAGCCAGTAACTTTGACCTGAATAGTCTGAATTCTATTACAGACATGCTGGACATTTTTGTTGGCCTGCAAAAGAGCAAGATGCTTTTGAAAAAGTCAAAAGAACGCAGATACCACATCAGTTTTGAAGAGACTGAATAGTGTGTAACAGACAGATTGGGCCTCTCTCAAGCACTGATGTATTTCCATCATTACCAACACAGGGCATCAGTGAGAACCACACTGCAGAAACCTGAGCTAGATGGCATCTGAGATAGCTTTTCAGCATAACTGTAAGTGGCAAAAAAAAAAAATATTCATGTGTATTTGCTGTCCACATATATATATATATATATATATATGCATGCTTGTCCATGCATCAAGCATGTAGCATGTATAACACACATCCATTCATACGGAGGAAAAGAAAAGTGGGTGAGAGTGAATACAAACACGAAAGCTGAACTCAGCTTTCCAGGATCTACCACAGTTCCTTTTCACAGAACAAACATGAAATAAAATGAACTTATACACCTCCTATCCCCCAGAAAAGCACAGGAAAACCCATAAGCCCTCGCATGGCGGGTAGAAACAGCTGATGGATTTATACTGCAATCCTATTTGTTAGCATCAATTTAAAGTAAATATGCCCACAGCCCACAACCCAGTAGCTCCATTTCCAGGTTAACACTCAAAAACAGTGTTTTTATTTGTTTAGCAAAAAATCATACGCAAGAGACTTCCCAGCAGCCTTTTTTTATGGAATATGCACACAGTGAAGCGCTAGACGGCAGTGGGCTTGATCTGCAGCTTCATTTGACTGTATGGTTCAGTATCACAAGCAATGGGAAGAGAAGAGTACAGATACCATGGATAGGTTAATATAAAAGTACTAAAACAAGCAAAGCAAAAGAAAAATCCACTGCTAGGTAGTGTTTGGTACCCTTGGGATGGAGAGTGGGAGAGTGGCAGAGAGCAAGGCTTCTCCGATACTGGGGATTTGAATTTCGGACTGGACATTGGTTACCTGTGTTTTCCTACCAAGGAATCTTCAACCCGTAAATTTATCAGTTTATGGGTTTTTTTTTTTTTTAACATGGGTTCTGGAATCAATCTCAACTCTTTGTGCTTTCAGGGCAATAAGTTTATCCTCTGAGCCCTTGGGAGTCAATCTGGGAGTTATACAACATGTATGTTTTTGTCTGTGTACTATACTTCAAAAAAAATCTAGAGAAATTTCACAGCCGAAGTACTCAAACTATAATTTATGTCTTCAATTAAGAGAAAGTCATCTTGTAAAGATGAACGGCATTCTGTTTTGGAACTCGAAGTGGGAGTATCACTGGAAACTATTGGGAACTCACGGGCCTTTGTTCTAATGAGGATCAATGTATCACTTCAAACAGGAAATTAGCCAAAGTACACTTAAAGATGTGTGGGTCTTATGGTGATTCATTCCACCAATAGCCTTGGGGTGCCAGGCTTAGGGCGTGGCTTCCTGTCTGCCACTGTGACCACTTAAGAGAGGAGAGAGAGAGGTCACACACTCTCTTGGGTGGTAAAGACTGGGTCAGGTGGCATGAAGCAGTGTGTGATAGGTCCCAGCTCCCTTGGGCAAACTGGAAGGACGCTGCAACTGGTTATACCTTGTCCTGTATCAATGAATCTGTTTCCCCGTTGCACCACTTAATAAACTGATAAATATATATATATATATATATATATATATATATATATATATATATTTACAGGGCCTCAAAGTGATCCCACTTTTATCATAAGTACGCTTGAGCATCAGGAATCATACAGCCCTTTTGAAGGCCCACCTCCTTTCAAAAACTTTCAATAATCGCTCCCAGTCCATCTGGCTGTGCCTTTTTATGATGATAAGCAATCTTTGGAAACACAAGGCAAGGCTGCCTTGTGTCCATGTGCAGTGACCTTGCATTTCTGCCCTTCACTTTACATTCCTTTCTAAGTATGAACATTTACAACGTGCCCCAGAACACAAAGACACACGGGCCAGCCAAATTATCCTCCTATCGCTGAAACACGTAATACCAGGAATTCACATGGTCCTAGATTGCTAGAGCAGAGTTCACGCTGACACACACACACACCCCAGTGGGTGCCACAAGGCACAGCCCTAGGACCTTTTAAATTAACAAGTAAAGAGAGGAAACTCAAGGTAACAAGTCACAGCCAGAAACTGAAAGTAAAGTGTGCCTGCCGGAGTGACTCCACCAGCGTGATTGTGTCTAATGTGGGCACGGCTTGACACCATGCTGAAGGAGGAAACATTTTAGGGACAGAAGTAGGTCCCATGGGCTATGTCCACTTAATTAGACCATTTCCTCACAGAGTTTCCATTTGTTATCGATAAGCTAGAGATAAAGAGTAAATAAACAAAGTAGGAATGTTAACCTCCTCCAGTGGCCCAAGGAGGGAAGGCCCTCTTTTCTCCACTCTTCCCACAAGAGCCTCCTAGCAAAGTCCTGGGCTGCACTCAGACATTTAAGTTGCAACTAGCCTAACACGACACTCCCAAACTTCACCTTACCCTCTTCTTATCCTATATTTTCAACCATCTTCAGCCTGCATGTATATGTTTTTGTGGTGCTGAGAATCAAACCTTGGGCTTCATGATAGACAAGCGCTCTGCCATGGAATAGCTCTTCTAGTCCTGCATTTTAAAAAATGTTTTTTGACCACTAAGAGAGCATAAAAAGTTCCGTGAGGTTTTATTCACTGTTCTCTCTAGTACAGGAAGAAAAAAGGGTCTACCTACTTGGAAGTGCATAAAAAATATTTCATATGATCAGCATAATGCAAGACACACAAATGTTCTCATTCATCGAATGCACTTGTCTGACTTTGGAAAGGCAACTTGTCAAGAAAAGGTTTAAAACAAATACCCAGAACAGTGGTTCTTGACCTTCCTAATATGTCAGCCCTTGAAGTTTCTCATGCTTGGTGACCCCCTCAACCATAAAATTATTTTTGTTCATAACTGTAACTTTATCATTACTGCTATAAATTGTAATGTAAATATATGTTTTCCAAAGATCTTAGGTGACCCCTATCAAAGAGTCAGTAGACCACCAAAGGGGTCATGACCCACAGGTTAAGAACCACTGACCTAGGCGCTCTTGAACATTCCTATGATGTTGAAAAAGAATGACATTGTATCAGCTTACTTTTAACATCATTCCGATTTTACTCAGATTTCACTGCTGCTCACAGTTAGGGTTGGGGGGACATACAACGAACACTCCGTTGGAGACCAAAGGAGGACACTAGGCATCTTCTGCTATGGCTCTGCACCTCATTGTTTTGAGACAGAGCCTCTCACAGTATTTAGATGAGTAGCTACCTCGCCAGTAAACTCTTGAAACCCAAGACTCCAAGGCTGGTGTTCCAGGCCCAAGCAACCATGCGGACATTTCCAGTTGGGTGCTGGGGAATTCAAACTCAGGTCCCCATGCTCACAGAGCTACACTGAGCCACCTCCCCCGCCTCCAGGTCTTCTCTGACACTGCAGTCAAACCCAATTCTGCAAAACCAAGTATCAATAACCAAACCAAGGACACACAAAAACAGGAAAGCAGGCCAAAACTTACATGGTGATAGTTGGAAAAAAATAGACTTACACATATATATTAAATATATATATATATACATATATATATAATTCTGTAAATAGGATAAAGGGATAACATTCATATAATATTCAAAACTGACTATCTCAAATACACAGATATCCCTTATTTAATCTTCAGACCAGGCCCTATCTTTAAATACAACATTTAATATTCACAAAATAGCAAGCAGCGCTAGTGATTCCATTGCGTTAATTGATTAGTACTGGAAATCCCTTTGCTGCCTGACCAAGGATTGGCACACCTTTGTCCACCATGACCCTCCAAACTGTGCCAGCTGTGGGTTCACACAGCTGTCAATCATCTGACCCTAGCAGCTACGTAGTATATATAGAACTTCAAAGCCATAGCATTGGTCCTTTCCTTACTACTCAAAGATTTTTAAACACTGGTCTGAATCAATAAAGAAGTATATTTTAATCAGATCAGGAAAATAAAGGTCCACCCAGATTCTCTGACTCTGCTGAAGAGCTGTGAGGTGAGATCCTAGACCCTTCTTGGGGTACCCTTGCTCCCTTTTTAATCAATCATCTGTGAAAAAACTGGTCTTGTGAGTTCACCACTCCGAATCCTCGCCTGTAAAACAGGAGCCTAGTCTCACCGGGAATCAATGAGATTCAAAGTTCTTAACCCTGGCCCGGCCGGGAAATGAACATTTCAATGCTGTCCCTAATTGTCACATTTACCTCAACTGGCCTATTGGATTATGGGTAGTATCTGGGAGCCGGTCACC